CCAACAGCACCTTACCAGAGCATTTTTACAACCACTTGGCTAGCACTACCACTTGTCTATCCTGCTGCTTTTAAAAAAGATAAAAAGCTAGAATAAGGAGTTCACCCTCAGTGATTCATGGATAGCACATTTTTTATATGTACATGTCATATCTCATTAAATGAGATACCTCTCAATGACCTTACTTCCTTTCCAGATGAATGTTTGTGGTAAAGTGAGGTCACTGCTCTTTCTAACATTTGATATTCGTTCCATAATTAGCAGTAGATATGTTTTCAGTGCACTAATCACAGTCCAGAGCAATCTCTGTGGATTAAAAGCTCACTTAGTAACTGAACTGGGGGTTATTCCAGACAGTTTCTCTAAAAGCAGTTAGCTTGCATCTTCAGAGTGATTTTGAGTGTCTTGGTTCTTAGAGTCCATACGTAATTAGTTCTTTGTTCAGTTTTCTTCTAGGTAAGCCAGTTCATCTTTGATCTTTAGATGTTTCTGTTAAAAGGTGTAATCTTAATTTACTTGAATCATGATATATATATATATATTTTGAATTTCCATCAAAATGCATGTTAGTCATTTTAATTTCTTAATTGCCTTAATTTTCTGATCCTAGTTCTTAAATCATGCCCATTTCTAACAAGATCCTATGTTTTCTACACATTTCAGCAAAATAAATCCTTATGTATAATTTGCTTTATTTTTTCTGGTATGTTCCAATTATTCATGTTGCATAATTTTAACATATAACTACTCTGGTATTGCTCCGAGTTTAGGTAACACCTTTCCTAGAAAGGCCTCATTAATATGTATAAAGGTCTATGCTGGAAGACCGTAAAGAGTGTGGGTCTTCATTTACAAGGGGGGTTACAAAAACACATACACACATACTGAAAAAAGTAAACCTGTTATAACCTGTCCTGGAGATTTGCTTACATACTGATCAAACACAGGATTAACCTGGTATTGTGAGATGGATTCATCTGAGAGATGAAAGTCAAGGTGCACACTTTCATCTATGCTCCTAAGTGCACAGTCACATTTGCTTATGTCTGCCAGTAAGCAGGTAGTATTATCTGTTCCCCTTTCTCCATACTTCTCACATCAAAACGCATATGCCAATATGTTGGAGCAGAACTGTTCTTCTTTTTAATGTTTCTTTTAATTAGATAGTGTCCACCAGCTGTTAGAATCACATTGGGTAAAGCAGTTTTGATCTAATGTTGATTCTAATAAGCATTAACAAAGTAAGAAATCTGTGTGGAATTACATCCAGAAATCTGTATGGTTTTGGTATTTGGTTGTATTTTACTCATTGACTTCAATAGCTAGAAGAAAAACATATATATACACAAATTATGGTTTAAGACTTTGATTCCAATAAGCATCTCTCTGGTTTTAGGCACTAATGAGTGGAAGGCACTAATGAGTGGAACAAAACACAAACTTCAGAATTTTGGGGTTCAATCTGAGGTTTTAATTCTAATATCAGCTGTTAAAATTCTGTTAAGCAGGGGTCTAATTAACAGGTGGACACTAACTCAGTGAAACAATTCCAACCTGCTCCCTGTCCCAGAGCTGGCTATTCCAAGGGGTTCCTCTATAGATTCATTTAATAAAGAGCCTAAACCTACCTCCTTTAGATTGTGGGTAATGGTAAAGTTAATGGGCCATAGCTCTCATGGTGATACATTGTCTGTTTTTTCTTAAAGGGTTCCAAGTGCCATTTCAGGAGAACTCAGTCATACTGATACATGTGCTCATTGGGAATTTGCCCAAGTTAGTTATATACAGATTTATGTTTTATAAGATTGCTTATAATAAAAGCATTCATGTTCTGTTTAATAGATGCATGCTGATTAGTGCAAAAATGTGGTAGTAATTTGCTTGTGTGAAAGGATGAGAAAAATGTAATTGTTTTGATATGTAGTAGCCAAAAAACAGTTAATATCACTTCGGTACGTAGTGCCAACTGGTGACTGTTCTACATTACTTAAGTGTGTTTTCTTCCCTTGCAGTTGCTTGCCAATGCAGTCATTTTTCTCTGTGGTAACTTGATGGGTGCATTTCACAAGTATCGAATGCAGATTGCTTCATGGGATTTGTACAGATATACTTTGAAGTGCACTCAAGTCCGAATGAAACTGAAGATTGAAAAGAGGCAACAGGTGAGTGAAAGAATCTCTTACAGGAGTTGCATGTCATCTTTTGAGTGTCGAATATAATTTTGTAAGGTTTGTGATGGATATGCACTGACAGGCTCAAGCTGATCCCTGTTACACACTCTTCTTGTCAAAAAAAAAAATTGTGACACTGACAACAGAGAGAGGAAATTAAGGGAGCAAACTGATTAATGTATGACTTGTCTTGATAAGTAAAACCTGTAAATGGAAAGGAGTTCCAGAGACTGAAATCATTCTGCAATGCATGTCTGTCATGTACAAGTAACGTGTTGCAGTCCTATTGTGCTACCAGAGGAATGTGACTGATTTCTTCAGTTATATCAAGTTGTATTATTTTAGGAAAAGAATGTCAGCAATTCAGATAAAAAGAAACTTTAATTTTTAGGTTAGTACAGATGAAAATTCCTTTGAAGTTAATTTAATTAATAATTCTACTTTCTTTAGTAAGTTATCGGATGTTAGAAATTCTGTAGTCTTATTCTCTCCTTAAAGAGTATGTTCCTTGCCTCAGAAAATGATTCTCTACTAGCACAGAAATAGATCTATTTGTAAAGTAGGTAAGCAAGTAAATGCACAGTATTGTGTAAAATAAATATGCTAACAGCATTTTAAAAGTGGCAAATAATTGCTTATAGATTCATAGATTCATAGATTAAGGGTCGGAAGG